TTGTTCTTGATGGCTCACATCAAGGGTACAATCAAGGATTACAGAAAAATATTTTGACTCTTTTATTATTTTTATCATTGAAGTCCGAACACCATGAGATAAAAGATAAATAAGCTCATTTTGAATTTGATGACCAAGGTAATGTTTGTGAATTTCTTTGTTTTGAATATGTCTAACATGATCTTGCATTACCAAATCAAATTCAGCTATCATTTCTATTAAGCCTAAAAATTCACCATTGCTATCATCATAAAGTTTTCCATTAGATCCACAAAAAGCTAAATTATCTTTAGCTAGACATTTCACAAGAGAAACAATTCGAATTAAGACTTACCTCCAACGATCTTTTTCCTTTGAAATTAACTCTTGCAAGTCATTATCAATGCCTTTATTCATTTCTACTCTGATGGTTGTGGTTGTTCTGCTTCTGTGGCTGTGTTTCTGCTCTGTTCAAGCTGGCTGGGTGATTGGTTTTGCTTCTGTTCAGGCTGTCTTGTGCTGGTGGCTGCTTTGATGTTTGTTGTGCTGTTGTTTCTGTTCTACTGTGCTGCTATGCCTGTTCAGCAAAAAATAGATGGTGAGAATAGGAAAATCACCTCAATTATCAAGGGTGTGATCACATTCATACTGTTACCCCGCCAAAGAGAAAGGACACCTTCATTTTTTATTATTCAGCTAAAGCAATCCATCATTCCTTTGTAAGGAGTCGAAAGATGATCATATTTTAGCATCTCATTCTGACATTGCATCAGGCTATAGACCTGTTCAATAGGAGCCACAGCTGAGGCTGAAATAACCTGGGACATTCCTTGCAGGATGGCATACGACCTAGGATTTTGTTCCCTTGGGTGTACTTGCTTCTTTGGAGTAATCAGGTGTGGCTCTCAAGCTTAAGGGTGAGGTAGCAAACTAAGGTAAGAGCAAGAGACGCTCTAACCTGAAACTCTGAGAATGACGAAAATGGGACAATTCAATATCAAGAAAGTAAATCAAGCTCCCTAGGGTAGGATGTGCATATGCAGTGAGCTTGAAATTTCTCATAACAATCACGCCTTGAAGTATAGCACTGTTCAAAAGTGGAATCAACAACAAAACTTGATGACAGGTAAGGTATGGAGTAATCAACAAGCACTAGAAATATGATGGAAGGAAGCAACTAAATCATATGTAGAGAACTAGGAATAAAAGAAAAAAGAGCACAAATGATTAAGGATATGGAGTTGGTAAAACCAGACACGGTAAGTTGTATGCCTGCTAAGAGCCTAATAAAATAAAACAACGTGACATAATGAGATTACAATCTTATTATTTCAGAATTTGCTGTTGAGTTATTTAGAGTGTTGAAGTGGAGAGCTCGCTCCACTTGTTAGCGCGCTCGTGAAAGGCAGGCGCGACCCGCTCCGAAAGAGCGATAAAATCGCGCTGTGTTTTTGGAAAATCTAGCAGATTTTGGAGGCGCGCCCGCGCCACAGTTTGGCGCGACAAAATCGCGCCAGGTTTTTGGAAAAATTGGAAATTTGGCAAAACAGGGAGGAGCGCCCGCGCACGAAGGTGGCGCGCCCGCGCTTCTATGAAGGAGCGCCGGCGCCTCTTCGTGCGCACCCACGCCTCCTCCCTCTTCTACGGCTTTGCGGTTATTTCCTTTATATTATATCGGTGCTTTTGTTTTTCTATACATAGAAAAATTATCTTCCTCTCTAAAATTATTCCCTCTCTACACCATTATTGAAGAAACTTGCAATCTCTTCTTTAATCCTCTATCATTTAAGTTAATTGTTTGAGAATTTGATCATCATTCTACACATTTAAATTCTTAAAGTGTAGAGTTCGTCTATTGTATCTCAAAGCGTATTTCTAGTTCAACCCAAACACCGTTGAGGGGGAAATTAACGCTTTAGGAAAGTGTTCTCTCACCTTAGACGAGTATCAAGTATAGAAGACTCATGTGGTCCATGGTATTCTTGTGTTCTTGGATTGTTCATTTGGCTTGGAGTGAGGCAAGTATAGTTTTCATACATATAGTTTAGTTTGATACTCTGTAATTTTTGCTTTCTAAACTTGTTGGTGTTTGGTTGTTGTTGTAATTGGTATTATATTACATTGTAATTTCAGATTTCTCAAATTCTTAGGATTAGAATTTGTTCTTTATTAGCATATTTCCTAACATTTGCCTCACCTCTCAACCCTCAGAGCAAAGTTAAGATGCATTTGAACCTTCATAAACTCATCAACACCAAATTTTAAAATGATCTAACTTTACATCCGAGACAATCTTTTCACTTTATACCTTTCAATTTTCCATCTTTAAACTTGACCTTCCAACAATTCCAACCATTACTATACATCATTGGTATCCCAAACAAATTAAATTTTCCATCTTTTAACTTAACCTTCCAAGATTTTATTGTTCTTTTTATTTTTTTATTTTTTTTGTTGATGAGAGCCTTCCAAGTCATCTAACCACATTAGGTTCTTAAAATATTAAATTTTCAATATGTATCTCAAAGAACACAAACCTTATCCTATATTCAAATAGCAGTCCATGTATTAGTATGTTTCAGTCTCTAAGTTCATTTAATCTTCCTATATACTCCCTCCATCCCATAATTAAGTTAATGTTTTATCTTTTGCAAGGAGATTAAGGCTCTGTTATATACTTTTATTCACCTTATCTTCATTTATATCAGGTTTGATAAGTTCATATCAGTGCATAAAAAGGCTCAAGGCGAACCAAGGCATTTCAGAAATCCCTGCACCTATGGACTATAATATAAGGTGAATGAAATTCAGATGAAGAGACCTAAGAAGAGTAAAAGGTGGAGGAAAAAGGGTGGTCGGGTGCTGGTTCCAATGGTAAGGACTAGGGAAAAGATGTAGAGGGAAATGTACCAAAAGTAGACGGATTATTGAAGAACATCCTAAAATGAAAGGTGTGATTTGGTGTGCACTTAAAATACAAGACAAATCCAATTGAGGAAGTACATATTTAGTGCCATATTAACACCAATTGTACCATTATACGACATGAAAAAATTCAGTTCATGTATCAGCAATTCAGCATACATATACTCTTATAAAGAATATATAAGATCATACTATTTTAAGAAAATCATGTCATTCACTACTCTGTTACGCACAAAAATAGCACGGGGCTGCAATTAAGCATTTAAAAAAAATTATGGCTAAAATTGGAATCTTTATGATATCCTATAGTTAGTAATAGTATCAAACATGATAAATTGCTAAGCAGCATAAACTTGAATAACCACTACATGTCAAACAATGTTTAATGCTTAAACTCTTCAAATACTTCTTGAATTTCCATACATCAACAATGGAAACTTGAAGGCCAACCCCACTTATGGGATTAAGGCTTTGATTGATTGATTGAACAATGGAAACTAAACAGGTTTTCCAAAAAATATAAAATGAACAAGTCTTTGAAAAACGCAACCATGATTTAAACAATTTTTGAGACAAGGTAGTATTAACCTGATAAAACCTTGAGTGTACAATCTTTCTGCTATCTGCATAGCCATCTGTGGCCCAAAGCCCAATGAACTTGAGGCAACCTTAAAGATTATATCAATGAGGTAAGTTTTTGTCCCACAAATGTACTATAAACTGTACTATGAACGTCTAAATCACAGTTCAACATAATGAACTGTGCTATACAGACCCTAATTCAAGCATAGGCAAATAACAATAGACTTAAAAGAGCACAAACTTCTTTTGACACAATATATTAGCAAATATTTTCAGTATTAATACTATTATACTCCTTTTTGACACAAAATATACTATCAAGTGCACTTGAAAGTTTAAATTCCAGTTCAACATAATTAACCATGCTATAGACACCCTATTTTCTAGCATAGGCAAATAACAGTGAACAGTTACACAAACTTCCTTTTGACACAATCAGATAATACATTAGCAAAACATCTTCAGTACAATGTTTCTATAAATAGAGAATCAAACTTCTCACTTTTCCAAAATAGATGATGAAAATTCTAGAAAAACTGCTATTCAAAATATTCTTAAACATTTTCACCAAATTCAAATTATATTGAACTTTGCATTACAATCATACATATTAAGACATGTAAGAAAAGGAAACAATGCAGTAATTATGTCTTCTTTTTTTTTTCCACTCCAAAAGTCCATAAAATTTCTTAAATGAAGAGGTTTTACAGATTAAGACATATGGACTTGGCAATGTCTGTCTGCACAAAGATTGACACTAAAAACACTAATAGATCCTTCAACTTAGATCATGAAATTTACTATCAATAAAAAGAACAAGCCCAGGAATGGAAAGGGAACACTTCTCTGAGATAGAAGAAATATAATGTAATCTCAACTTCAGACGCAACTCATGCAAGGAGTAAGGGCAGAAACCTTGAGAAGATTGACTGTGTTCAAACCGGCAGGCCTACTTAGAAATTAGATTCACCATATGTTAGTTCATATGAACCTCTATCACCTTAAGGTCTACTTTTTATGAATTAAATGGCACATAATGCATAAGAATAGTCTAAACAAACAACTAACAGTCCCATTTATACATGGCAAGTGAATGTAGCAAACGGTACCTTTTGTTCCGCCATATCCTTGGCAATTTCTTTAGCCCTCCATTCATCAGCTTCTCGGTTAAGTTTCTTGAATTTCTCCTCCTCATGTGAACCATTAAGAAAATCAGTTAACATAAACATACTCCAAAACTTGTAATATAAGTAAATAGCCTGATATCAGCAATAGAAAGCAACCTTAGCAAGTGATTCAGCAACACGGCGTGTCTTCCTCTTCCTCCACAACTTATTGCGTTTTGACTTGTTAATTTTGTCACTCAATCTAACAACAACAGATTTCTCCTCCCACGGGGTCCCATCATCAATAACAAACTTGAGAGGTTCAAGCATAAACCGTAATTTTGACATTAACCCATTTGTAGCCTCCATTAAAATCAACTCTTGGGCACCCAAATTAATCCTATTATCCTAAAAAAACTTACAAAAGTCATCAATTTTTGAATTATCGATTGACCCATCATCATCATTATCACTCCCCTTCCCCACACACCCTTTTACTTCCTTAACCTTAATCAACATATCCAGCTCTTTTTTCCTACCATAAACAACCCACAAAACAAAAACAAAAAAGACCCAATTAAGTTATTACAACTTTTTCAGCATTTTCTTAACAGAAATTAAGGAAATTATAACTAACACAAATAAGTAGCGAAATTGATATTCATTGATTAAAAAACTTCATTGATTAAAAAACATTACCTCAGAAGTTGTTTCAATGGAGGAGAAAGCTCAGAACTACTACAATATAACGCAAAGCTAAATAACCCAGAAACCCTAACCTCGAATTTCTGATTTTTGGTTCGAAATTGATTCGAATTTGTTTTTGTGGAAGACGCATGCACATCGAATTGATTCAAAATAGACGCACCCAGAAACCCTAACCTCCAATATTGTAGAAAGAGAGAAGGAGAAGGAGATCGAAAGAGAGAAGAAAGGAAAGGGAAAGTGGCGGTTATGGAAAAGGAGATCAAAGGAGAGAGAAGGAGTGTTAAGAAAGTGCTGAGAGAAAGCTCAGAAGCCTCTTCAATGGAGAAATTCGAGTACGCTTCAATGGAGGAGAGAGAGAGGCAGATTAGATGAGAAGAGGAAAGATCGTGGAAATGAAAGCAAGAAAAAGAAAGAGTATGGGAAATGAAATGAAAACGAAGAAGACCCGGTTTTTTTTTTCAAAAATGGCACCGGTTTAAACCGGTGCTAATTAACATAGTTGGCACCGGTTTAAGGTGAACCGGTGCCAACTCTATGCCATACTTATTTTTTTTTATTTTTACTTTTATAAGTTGGCACCGGTTTTAACCGGTGCTAATTAAATGATTAGCGCCGGTTTTGGTTGGAACCGGTGCCAACACTGAATTTTTTAATCCCGCCCATTTCTTTTGGCACCGGTTTTCACGAACCGGTGCTAAAGAAGGGGTGCCTATTTCATTTTTCTACTACTGCCAAGTGTTCATATTTGTCATATGCTCAACACTATTCTCATGTAATTTGAGTTTCTTACCAAGATGTTTCCAATCATTCACACCATCACTTGCTAAAAAAGTTTTGTTATTTTGAGATATGAAAAATTTACACAAAAACAATATACTTTATCAGCTAATTTTGAGTAAACCAACCATTTTCTATCAAAAGTCTCACCATTACTCAACTTCTTAGTATAATAGGCATATGAAAAAATCCTTAATTTGTTATCAATTGGAAACACAAGGTTTAAATCTCTAATTGGTCCTTTTTGTATCAAAATATTCCTTCCTTTAATTTCAATATTACCCCAATTTTTAGGATCATAAATATCTAAAGGTGGGACTACTTGATCAATGCCAACATCATTAACATCGGATGTATTTGGTACATTTGTTGGTTCATTCATATTAGTCGCATCCTCATTAGGCTCATTTGCCTCATTATCATGATTTTCATTATTTATATTCTCATAAAATTGTTCATGATTTTCATCTTCACCCAATTCATTAGAAGACTCTTCTACTTGTACTACTTTAGTAAAAAATTTGTCAATGGCACCCTTTTGAGATTATATTAACTCTTCGCCCGTTTTCTTTTTTTCCTCTTACCATTACCAGGTAAATATTTTCTAGGCAACATTCTATCAAACAAAGCCAATAATAAATTAATAAGTATAAAAAAGAACAAAAACACCTGATTATTGAAGCAATTGAACAAAAGACTTAGTACGCTCAATTTGCACTCCAAACAAATGTCATCTCAAGTAATCAAATCTAAAAAATAGAAAACAATTAAAACAAAAAGTTTTTACTCAAATTAACCAAATAAAAATAAAATTACATAATTACATTATGATTTAGGAATGAAAAAGTATAAAATTAAAAATTTAAATAAGAATTAACCGTAAAATACTAGCATTTTGATGAAATGATGATCCCTTAGCTCTCGTTGACGGTCGAAGCAATTAGAACTATCAAAGTTATCAAACGAACCAATTTAACCAATCAATGAATTAGATTTTTTTTCCCCCAATTTTATAATTCTTGATTGAAAGACTATGAAAACTTAATAGAAAGAATAGATTTTGATGTAGAATATACAAAGAGGATTATATGTAATTAGATAAATTCTCGTTGATATTGAAGGATAAAATTACCGTTTATCATAATCACGAAGGAGAAGGAATTAATCTGACTGAAAATTGAATTGAGATACATTTTGAAGAATAAAATCACCGACAAAAGGGGATAGAATTGAATTAATGACAATTTTTTTTTTGGGTTGATAAAAATTCACTTAGGAAAGTGAATATTTTGGGAGAAAAATTAGGGAGGAAGGAGGTTGAACAGCGAAAAAATTGGCGTTTGAAATTCTGAAACTCAATGTTTTGCTATATATGCGCTTCTTCCTTTTTTTCTTTTATTTTTTGTTATTTTTTTTAATAAATAATTATATGGGGCCTTTATTAAACTGAAGATGGGCTTTTGGTTTGGGGCCTAGGGAGGTCGCCCCACCTGCCCTGGCTTTGCTACGACCCTGGCTTAATCAAAGTGATAATAATATTTAGTTTACGTGTGCATTAAATTCAACCAACATAGTAGATTAATGCATTTGGAGAAAATGGAACAATTTTTGTATGTCTTTTTGGCTAAAAATAATAAGTGTCTCAATAAGAATCGAGTAGAGGCTAATATAGGCCGACTCAACTTTCCGGCTAAATTTTGTACCTCCATCCCGAAATATCCAGTTGTGGTTTTGTATGCGTCAATCGAAGCGCACCTACTTAAGCATGTTGTGAATATGCTTGTCAATCATAGGATGTGGGATTTGACATTATATGGTTATGGACAAACAAAGTAGGGAGCCATAACAAGTTTTTAAAGAAACTTATAAACCGTTCACGGATCATAAAAGGCAACCACGAAAAAGGACCAAATGAACGACAACAACGATTTGATCCATGAAGTTTACACCTCATTCATAATCCATGAGATTACTAACTCCATATGGTTTCAAACCACAAATGAAGGATCGAAGATGATGGTACGAAGTTGAGTCATGGAATTCAACTTCGCCTTGATTGGCCTCTACTCGATTATTATAGCAAAAAGTATTTCATTTCATCTCAAAGGCATACAAACAAAGTTCAATTTGCTCCAAACTACATTAAGCTAAATTGGTTTAATATTAATGCACACATAATTCTAAATATTTGTGATCACTTCAATGAACAATAAGATTTAGGGTTCCTAAACCGATCGTTCAAATTAAATATGTGGAGTGATTTTCAATTACATATTCCCATTAAGCATGCAAAATGGTGATCAATAATAAAATAGAACACACAATAATATTGAAAGAAATTTAAGCATAAAACATAACAATCAATACATGAACATAACAATGACAATCTTTAGTAATATAATAAAAATAATAGGAGCATGATGTCTTACTTTGATTATGTTTGCTTGTAACTATAATATATATAAAGGGTTAGTAACTTCAAGGAAAATAATAATTAAAATTGAAATTAAATAAGAAAAATAATAAAAGTACAGTTGATTTACTCCAAACCCTCAATCGGTTCCACCTTTTACGCCTTGGTTTAAGTAGAAAATTTCGGGTATAGTATAGACTCCTTAAAGTGCTAAGGGAAAGTATAGTGACGTTACGATGATTGTGCTTAATGCGTAAATATAAGAAAGTAGAGGAATTAAATTGTTTGTGTTGCTTCCCCGGAAATTGTAAATAAGCCCCATATTTATAGGGAAAAATGTTGGAGAATGTTCGGAATGATAAAAAAGAGTGCCACTTAAAAAGGTAGTTTATCGCAACGCGGCACTATGTACCATGTCACGGACATACACCGTAGCGCGATACAACATTTTATCCTGCAAAAAATAATTTTTACGCCTTTTAAAATAAAATCTGGTAATAAACGTACCATGACATGATATTTTACCATTTTTGGAAAATAATGTTTTATTAAAATCTTATCTGTTTTTCACAAAATACAGAATATATAGGCGTCGCTTATGTCATTCCGGATTAATTTTAGGATTAAAGGTTTTATGGTTTCATGATTTAGGCTTAATTAAAAATACGGAAAATGTTAGAAAGAGGAGTTTAGGCTAGGAAATGAATATTTGGGCTTAAATTGGGTTGGTTTAGGTGAATTAAATGGAAATGTGTTGGGCTAAGGCTATGGTTTTAAGCACTCTGCAATTCGACACACAACCCGACCAATAACGACGATGAAAGGTTGTTATCATAAGATTTAGATTTGGGAAGACACAATTATGTGTCTATAGGTTCAGGATCGGACCATTATGGAGTTAGAAATTTCATCAACTGTGAATAGGGTGTTACCTTCATGGAATAATATTCGTGGTTGCCTTTGTCCCTTTCGTAAAATTCATGAAAGTTTACAAGTTTCTTAAAACTTGTTGACGACTCCCTACTTTTTCGTCCTTAATCGCTATAATAATGTCAATTCTTACTTCTTACGAGTACCAAGCATGTACACACAAAGGTAGGCGCATTTCAACCGACGCCTACACTTGGTAGTGCGTGTGTAGTTTTGAATGTAGTGCAACATTTTCATTGTTTAACATCATTGTATGAATATCTTTTAGCCTATCATTGTCTTAAAAGGAATATGTCCTTCTAGCCGTACTACCTTTTTTATAAGGTACACAAAATTTTTAATCGTTATCTTGAATCTTAGTCGTCTAAAAACCCTTTTTATTTCAAATTGCATTTATCAAGTTGAAATCATTCTATTTTTTCTATCCATTTAGAATTTATTTTAGATTTAGATGACCATGTAGCATGTTTCCCTACTTATATGGGGGTCTACTTCGCTTTACATTTTTCCACTGCTAAGATTTTAACAAACTAAAGATTAAACAGTACAAGTAATGCGCATGAAAAATGCATGAACATGTATAATTTATAGGAAAAATTTCCCTAAATAATCCCACCTTTGGGGCGTCCACTCAAAATAATCCTACCTTTGGGTTTTTTTAAATAATTCCACATTTATATCCAATCCGCTCAAAAAGGTCCCAACCGGTCATGTAACTTGTTATAACAAGTTACCAGACACGTGGCAGCATGTGATTAGTCAAAAAAAAAAAAAAATTAAAAATTTTTAAAGTTTTTGTAAAGAAAAAATAAAAAAATAAATAATTAATATTTCATAAACCACCCACCACCCAAGCCACTGTCGTCCCCACCACGCGCTCCGGCCAGCCAGCCCCAACCTCAGTGTCGGTCCGGCGCACGACCGACCCCCCTCCCCCTCCCCTAAACCACCAATCCTCTCCCTCCCCCACGAAAACGAAAATACCGGCAGCCCTAAACCATCCCCTAACCCTCGAAAATTCCTTTCCCGTCACGTTCCCAGCCCCCTCCCCGTCCCCTGTCCTTCCGAACACGCCGACTTCCCAAACCCCGATCCCGATCCCAGCACTCCTCCCCTGACCTCGATTAAGGGTTTTAGGTTTTTCGAATTTTTTATTTTTAATGGGTTTACGATTTTTCGAAGGGGTTTTGGGGTTGGGTTGGCTAAGGTAGGATTCCAGTCGGCGCGTCAGTGGCGATGGTTTCGGGTTTGGGTGAGGCGGTGGTTTTGGGGTCTGGGTTTGGGTGGTGGTGGGGATGGTGGTGTCTGAAACATAAGTAGTGGTTTTTCTTTTGTTAATTTTTTTAGTTAATATTGGACAAATCAAGTTATAACACCCTAGCCCCAAACAAATTAGGGTGGGACTTATTGTCACGAAATGTACACCAAGGACCAACAACTATCCTAACTGACCAACACAAATCTTTCCGGCGCATTTTGTCCTCACTCATGCGCACCTTGGGAAAACTTCCTAAGAGGCCACCCATCCTAAGACTACTCCCAGCCAAGCACGCTTAACTGAGAAGTATCTTAGCATATGAGCTTCCTAAAAGGAAGATGCATCTTGTTGGTATGAGTAGTATATTAAATCCTTTTACAGCAATCATGAGGGGTATTACATACACCCCCACTTGAGAATGGCAACGCCTTTTTTATGCCAGAAAAGCTAGTGACTCCAGTATTACGCCTAACGTCAACAAGGTAGCCAAAGTGTTGCATCCAATCTGGATACGGCTATATGGCCCCAGATTTCTCCCCCGCTAGGCGACTGCCACAGGATTAATTACCCACGACCAGCACACGGTCGTAGGGTTGCTCTACTACCAATTGTAACACCCCAGCCCCAAACAAATTAGGGTGGGGCCTATTGTCACGAAATGCGCATCAAGGGCCAACAATTGTCCTCACATACCAACATAAGTACTTCCAACACATTTTATCCTCACTCATGCGCACCTTGGGAAAACTTCCCAGTAGGTCACCTATCCCAAGACTTCTCC